GGACGTTCCCCTTTCCCTGTCATTAGCACGGGACCCATGGTGACAGTGCAGACCCTTCCCGAGCCACAGCTGCCAGGGATCAGCTGTGACAGGGGGAGTCATTTAGTTGTGTGACAGCCAAAGCACAAAGCCAAGGCTGGGGGTCCCTGAGCTGTGGGGGAGTCTGGGCAAAAACACTGACATACGACTGCAAAATGGATTTGATCCATCCACCTATTCCCCCCTCCTCGCAGGGGACAACAGTATTTCCTAAAAATGAGCACTGCCACCACTCCTTTCCTCCTTTGAGCTTCACTTCTCGTTGCAAACAGCACTGCAGGACGTGGCCAGTCATTATCCTAGAGAGCACAGGCTTTCCCAGGCTCACATAGCTCCTATTGCAATTACTTGGCGTTTTTCTTATCACAGTATGACTCAAATTGTTGAAACATTTCCATTACCTCTTTTCTAGCAATCAATGCTAAAAACATAATCTTTTTCTAGATAAAGTCCAGCTCAAGTGTTAGTCATTTAACCTCCTTGTTTCCAGGAAAATAGGGAAATGGCCAGTCAGGGTCATTCAGGATAACTTTGTAATAAGGCATATTATGCATGGTAGAAACCTTTACCCTCCTTAGCCATATTGTTCTTGATAAAGCATTTTTTTCTCAGTTTTACTTGGATAATATTTTAAAAATTAAGCCCACGTGCTCTGTTAGTGATGTGCAAATCAGATGAACACAATCACAAAGGGACCCTGCCAGATGCAGATTTTACACTACAAATGAAATCAGTAAAGTCATTAAATTAACTGCAACAGAAAGAAAATAATCCAGTACTTACATTGACCTTCATTTTGTTGCCTCTTATTTCCCTGCTAGTCCATCACCTGAGGAGGAGGAGGATGATCTCCCCCAGCCTGGCCAGTGGATCAGGCAGCACTAGAGAGTCTGGCTGGAAGCCTGGAGGGGGAAGGCTCAGCCTCTGGCACCTCCTGCTCACTGGGAGCCCCAGGAAAGGGGCTCTGGGGGATGGAGGGAGCTCATTACGTAGCAGATTTATCTGCAGGGAGCCACTGGGCTGCAGCTGGTGACGGTGCAGGACACACAGACATCCTTCCTGCAGACACCCCGGGGAAGTGCCTTCCCTGCTCTGAAGAGAAAACCCAGGGCAGCAAGGCTGGACCAGAAAAAAGGATCGGATTTGGAAGCATTTTTGCAGCAGCATTTTTTACTCCTGGGTTTTTTGTTTGAGTTTGTTGTTTTTGGTTTTGTTGTTGTTGTTGTTGGTTTTTTTAACTTAAAAGTGGTTTGAGGTTTGATACACTCTGCAATTTTCCTGTTCAGGTCTCTAGAAAACTTAGCAGGTCCCTTTTGTGGTTATGGAAAACCCTGCAAAGCAACCTCACCCTACAGAGGCAGAAAACCCCGGGAGGAAGGCTAAACATGACCTGCAGCTGAAGGGTTTTGTTTCTTTGATTATTTTAAAAAAATCCTTTAATATTATTAAACTATAATGTTATTTAAAATTATTCGTGGTTGCCGTTTGCTCAGCAGCAGTTCAGCCCAGGTCACACTTATGCAAATGCACAGGTTTTACCACTTTGGACTTGTGAATGTCTTGGGGTTTGCAAACTTTTACCGGTTTTTCTTTTGTGCATGCTGCCTTTTCTTTGACAAAAGCCTTTTCCTTCCTCTTTCCATGGTAGCTTCAAGATGAAATTAGACACTTACTCCCAAAGCCACAATCACTTCACTAGAAAAGACTTGTGCATCTTGGAGAGAAAATGCTGAATTGAAAATGCTTTCTCAACAAAATCTACACCTCTGGGCTGGGAGCAGGGCAGCTGCCCAAAGGAGAAAAAATTCCTGGCATGAACCATCCCATTTGAATGTCGTGGGGGGTTTTCTTTTCTGGCCGTGTTGTTGGTTTTTTTTTAGTATTAAAACCAACAGTTTTTCTCCTTCAAACAGTCCATGCAGATGATAAAGAGCCATTCAGTTGCTACCCTGGAATTTTAAAGGTGCTCCAGCCTTTGAAATGATGGAGAGTATAAACAACAAAGCCACAATTTGTGGCCACAAAACTACTTTCAAATGCAATTAAATGTTCTCTTGAATGAATCCCAGAAACCTCTGTGAAGGACCTGGGGTGGACTGAGTGTACCCCCTAAAAAGTAAGGCAAGTTGAGACCAGGAAGGGGGAGGAAAGGTGTTTACTCAAGTGTTTCCTTAATTGTTCATGGTTTATTCTTTCTCAATCACCCAAATCAGAAGTTTGTGTTAACTGGCATTAAATTACATGAGGTGAAAATTCCCTGGGTCAAGACTGTTCTGTACATGACAACTAAAGTTTCACCTTTAAGATTTCCCCAGGAAAGTTGGGCATTGACTCTAATTCCATCCCTGAGAATAGCCCCAAGTTTATTGTCTGAGGCCCAGGAAAACAGAGACTTCACCATTTTCTCCAGTATTTCCTCTTGGCTATTGAAGTAACTCCTTGCTCAGTATATCATCTCTGGCAAATCCTATTTTGAAACACATTGTTTGCTCCTGAGTGTTTGAGATGGAGACTGGGGGGTGACAGCAGAGCCCTGGGGCTGCAGGTGAACACATCCCCAGGAGCAGAGGGACCCACAAAACAAATCAGAGAGTCACAGAATGGGTTGGGTTAGAAGGGACCTTAAAGATCATCTCATTCCAACCCCTGCCATGGGCAGGGACACCTTCCACTAGCCCAGGTTGCTCCAAGCCCTGTCCAACCTGGCCTTGGACACTTCCAGGGATGGGGCAGCCACAGCTTCTCTGGGCAACCTGTGCCAGGGCCTCTCCAACCCTCCCAGGGAACAATTTCTTCCTAGTATCCCAACTAACCCTACTCTCTGTCAGTTTGAAGCCATTCCCCCTTGTCATGTCACTCCAGGCCCCTGTAAATAGTCTCTCCATCCTTCCTGAAGCTCTTTCAGGTCCCGGAAGGCCACAATTAGGTCACCCCAAAGCTTCTCCTCTCCAGGCTGAACAATCCCAACTCTCTCAGCCTTCCCTCCCAGCAGAGCTGCTCCATCCCTCTGATCATCTTGGTGCCTCCTCTGGACTTGCTCCAACAGCTCCATGTCCTTATTTTGGGGACCCCAGAGCTGGAGGCAGCTCTGCAGGTGGGGCCTCACCAGAGAAGAGCAGAGAGGCAGAGAATCCACATCATTCCTCACACACGTGTTTGTGGATGAGATGGGAAGATGCGAAGTGGGCATTTTAAGAGAGACAAACCTCAGATCCACATCCTCATGTGTGTTTCAAACACTGTGTTTGTCCTCTGGCAGCAGCACAGCCAGTGTTGTCAAACAGCAGGAGCACTATTTCGTGAGCAGCCCGTCGTGCTCACAGTGCTTGAAATTGCACCAAGGGGTGCAACGCTTCCTGTGCAGCCTTTGCCCCATGTGGATGCATAACAACAAAACAAAAACAATGTTTTCTGCCTGCACTCACAGACTGAATTAATTTTTAGAAGGTGGAATAGCTGGGGCACAGGGATAATTACAAAATGTTGCCATCGCAGTAACACTGCTGAGGGTTGGTGCTTCAAGGAGTCCAGATAATAGAAAAAAAAACCCTTAATGTTTTTGTATTAAGCATAATATTCAAATATTATAATAAACAGTACTGCCAGGGTAGTAGGAACCTTATAAACAGCTCATAAATGATGTAGCAGAAATAAGTTTGACTTTCTCAGTTATTACTCAACTGAAGTTGACTGGGTGTGCTACAACCGTGTCTAAAGAGCTCACAACAGAACAGGGAATCATGAATTTACCATTGACAATCCATTTAAGAAAATTGGAAATATCAAACCTAGAAATAGAAAATTTCTCTGTATAGAGATGAAAAATGTCCTGCCTCACTTACTGTGACTCAATGTGAAAAATAGCCCCCTAATCTTTACACACCTCAATGGAAAATTGACTCATGGAGCTCATACTAAGCTTTTTCCCCCCACTACATTTTGTATCAAATTTCCAGGAGGCAGCTTATTTACAGCAAACACTGAGATCATAATCCAGGATGAAAATCACAATTTCATTACACTGCTTATTAGACTTGCAGACAGTAGGACAATGAAGGCACTGACTTGGAATCAAGACCTCAGCATTCTCTAACCCTTACAGCTGCAGCAAGGCATTTTAGCTATGTATATATATAAAATTAAACTAGATGTAATATGAATACACAAATGTAAAAACCCTATATAAATTAGTTCCAGTCTTTCAAAATAAAAATAAAATAGTGCTTCAAAATGTTTTCTGTTTTGCTCATAACGTAGAGATGCAACTGGTCACTTGGACTGTCACTGAAAGCCTCTGACAATGTAACCATGTCTGCAATGTCACTACAGGATAGCAGTATGACAGGTGGAACCTTGAAGTTATATATTTGTAATTTCACAAATGTGGTTATCTAGAGGCATGTGGTATTTAGGAATCCTGCTTTATTCAGAATCCTCTCCAAGAAGACCTTTCTTGCAGTCAATAATTCTGTCACAATGAAAAGCAGAGGGTGACATCAGGTACATGAGCATTCTAAGAGCCTTCTGGCCCCTTGAGATGAGAAATCCAAACACTTCACAGAGTCACAGAATCATTAAGGTCGGAAAAGCCCTCCCAGACCAACGAGTCCAACCTGTGCCCCATCCCCACCTTGCCCCCCAGCCCAGAGCACTGAGTGCCACGTCCAGTCATTCCTTGGACACCTCCAGGGATGGGCACTCCACCACCTCCCTGGGCAGCCCCTTCCCATGCCTGAACACCCTTTCCATGACTAATTCCTCCTGATGTCCAACCTGAACCTGCCCTGTCACAGCTTGAGGCCATTTCTAGGGCCCAGAACTGGGCACAGCTCTTGAGGTGTGGCCTCACCAGTGCGACCTCCATCATCATCAAGCATCACACCGAATTCAAACATCAAACCCTTCCCTTGGGCCCCCGTTTCTTACTTGTTCATATGCAGAACTCAAAAAACCAGACGTACCGTTGCCGTTCTGTTGACCCCTGTATTTTTATCCATTGTTGTCATTCCCCAGCAGCACCACTTGAGCAATACAGAGAATTACAGCAGGGTGAAGAGACTTCAGCCTTGCACAGGCACCGTGTTCCGAAACTGCGCCTCAGGAGAGCCCATCTGACAGCTCTGCCCCTAACAGCACTTGGGAGCTTGGTGAAAAGATTCTTATGAAAGATAATTTCTGTGACAACAGAGGAGATAAAAAAAAGGACAGAACGCAAACCAGAAAAACCCAACTGGTGACCAGAAGTGAGAAAAAAAGTCTGCCTGCAAGTGGAATTTTCCTTGGTCTATCTGTCACTAACTTGTCGCAATTAACCGCAGTGGGAAGTCTCACCCCTCTTTTGCTACGTGTTCCTGTGTTTCCTCTTTTAGCAACGCAATGAATACCAGGCAGTGGTACCACAGGGAGCTGCACAGGGCTTGATAACAACACGGCTGCCACAGTGGTGGAAATCCAGGATTTTGAGGCCAACAGTTTTCATGGCTTTCGAAGTAGTTTCTGCTTTCATGGCACCGACAGTTTTTTGCCATGAAGGGGCTTTTGGGAAGCTGGGTGCGTTCCCAGCCCCACCTGGGTGGATGCTGATCCTCCTGCCTGCACCACAGCTCCAACAGGCGTGGGAAATGCACAGCTCCTGCCCCAGTGTCCTGCTCAGGGAGCAGAGCAGCTGTGCTGCAGCACATCTGAAGGGTCCCCTACGGCCACACCGAGAATTTCCCAGCCTGAACCACAATTACCTTCACTACTTTTACTTCTTTGGTTTTTCCTGAGATTCAGTCTCACAGGGCATCTCTGGTGGAAAAACAGCCTCTGTGTCCAGGAAGTAAGAAATGTTTATCCCAGAGCAGTATTTCCTCTTAAACAGAAAGTTTGATGCCTAACTCCAGAAGTGGTCTCTTAGGAAAGACCCTTAGAGCCACATGCCAGTTCCTGACTGCCAAATCAGCATCCCAAGGAATGCTAGTGGCTGAAAGCTACAAAAAGAAATGATTTGTCTCCAGAGTTTTTTTTGGCTTTCACATTGGCACAGCTCACGTGTTATCTGTGGCATCACCTTGCCACATTTCCACAGGAGCTTATTCTGAGGAGAGGTGAAAGTAGGTTACACATCAGATGGATACAATGGACCTTTAGACAATGATAGAGACCTTCCTGACGTGGTAAATTCCAAGTATGACAGTGCTTCTCTGAGCAGAGCAGCTGGGATGTCTTTACCAAGAGGTACAGACTGTGAAACTCATGAAAGGCAACTGGAACTGTAATTATCAAATACAGCTTTGAGGGGTGAAGCTCCTCTGACCGCAGGAGGGAGCAGGAGCCCATGAGGAATGGTCACTCAAGATACTTCCAGACTTCCACACTGGAAAGATCTTTTCAGCTTATGTTGGAAGGGACCTTAAAGCTCATCTCATTCCACCCCACTAGATCTGGTTGCTCCAAGTCCCATCCAACCTGAGCAAAGTTTCTTCCAGCTTTTATTCCTCAAACGGAAACCCACCAAACCTCTGGCCTCAGGAAGAGGACCAGGATATGAAAAGCCAGCAGGGCACCCACGGCAGGATGGTTTTGTGTTAACAAGAGTAATTTCTACACTGCAAGTTCAAGACCGCAGAATTAAGGAAGCTTGAGGTGAGAGCTCATGTTAACACTGTTTAACACCCACAGCAGTGCTTTAATACATGAACCACCACAGGAGTGTTCTGAAAGGTTGCAAACCCCAGTAACAAATGCATTAGTTATGGACAGCTGCTTTAAGAGAATTTAAAAAAGGTGACACTCCAAATGAAAATGCCACTGCTGTCTGTGGCAGAGCTGCTGTCACCCAGCACACACCACTCATCAATGGCTGTGTCAGGACTTCCCTTTTCCCTCCCCCAAGCTCTGCTTCTCCTTGTTTCTCCACCAAAAAAGCCACCAGAACCACTATCTCCGGCCACCCATGTTTCTGAAGTTTCAGAAACTCAAAGGGAGGCAGAGGAGGAGCAAAGAGGATTCTTAAGCCCAGGAAATATTTTGCATAGCAGGAGCTTTTAAAGAGAACATTGAATTCCATTCTCTCTTTTAAAACCACCATCCCACTTTGTTAAATCTGTGGCTGTGCCTGGTTCAGGTGTAACACAATGAATTCATAAAGCTTTAACAAGTCCCTAAAGACCCAGCTTTCCATATTTGATCCGTTTCTCCCTTGTTATACAAAAAACAAATACAATCCCTTCTTTATGTATCAAAGAACTTTTTAAAAGGCAATTTTTATTTAAATACAGACAAAATCTGTACCCTCATCAGCCCTTGACAATTCTTCAGTGTAATGGGAAGTTAATCCAGCAGCAAGAACAATCTTACATTTAAAAATCCTCATGAAGGCAAGTGCTGAGCTTGGACCAAAGCAACCTCCCAGATGTGACACTCAAGAGCCCTGCACAGGGAGGCCTGAAAAAACATGTTTACAACTCTGCTCAGGCTGTCCTCTGTGAAAATAAGTAGTGAATTTTCAAACTTACAGGAAGTTTTAAGCACAGTCTCTTAACAATCTGCACTGGGTTTTTAAGTAATTAAAAAAGAATGTCATTCAATGCTGTGTAACAGAGCATGAAAAATTCTTGGTAAAATGAAATAGTGACGTTTCTGAGGTACATATACAAAAATTCATATGTACAAGTTTCTTGCTTTGAGAGGATACTAAAGGTCTCTAAGGCAAAATAATTCCCATTTTCATCTGCAGCAGCACTGTCACATTTTAGTTGCAATGTGGATATTCCTTGAAAATATTATGAATTTATTATGAAGTCCCACTTGTTCAGATAAATTCAAAAGAAGATGAGATGGAGTCTGAGGTTTAACACCAGAACTAGAAGACCATTTCTTGAACTTATCTAAACAATTTAAAATCCTGTTTGAATTCTTATGGCACAAGACAGCTCAGAACTGAAGGTCCACTTGGCCAATTCAAAAAAATAAAAAAAAAGATCCACCAAACCCCCAGACTAAAAGATACAAACCAGAGCTTTACAAAGGATGAACTGGGGCTGAAGGCAGCTTAAGGCTTCATTAAAGTATCTGCCAAGTTCTGCTGCTCCTTGTGTAATCCATTAACAGACTTCAGTGGGATTGCACAGACAAAACACGGAGCAGAAATGGCTCACTCTGCCCAGTTTGAGCAAGACACAGTTATATTATCTTTTTTGTGATTCAGAAAGGCAGGAGAAAAAGTTTAGCCCTTCCTGCCAGGATCATTTTATTCTCCACCCCTTCCCTTGAGTACTATTAGAGATGACTTACAAAAATTAAACCACACACACTAATGAAAAAATTAGTGTGGGGCTAAGAGTCTCAGTATTTTGTTGTTTTCCTGCCACGTTTGACAGAATTAAAAACCAGACACAGCACGGTTTTCACGCAGGCAGCTGCTGGCGGTACAATCAACAGAAGGTGGTGTGTGAGTTGGATCACTCCTGTCTGTAAAGCTGTCCTTAGTCTGTTGTTGACCTCCTGTACCAGAACCTGGCCCTGTAGTCGTCACTGCAGGTCATGAAGCCGGGGTTGGTGGGGGAGTGGACAATGCAGCGGACGATGCTGTTGTGCCCGAGGGAGAGGAGGTTCCTCCGCTCAGCAGTTCTGGAATCCCAGCAGCAGAGACTTATGGTCCTTTCATCTGGGAGCAGCACATAATCTTCTGTGTGGTTGAAGACAGCTTGTGTCCTGTGTACTTGTCGGCCACTCAAACCGGCACCTGAATATACACAGCAAAATATTGTTAAGTTTTAGGAAGTTTCCAAAGACCTAAGAATAAACTTTGCGTAAGTATCAATTCCTGCAGTCTATGAAGGAGTTGTATTTTCTCTGCTTTCCTACCACTTCCACCTGCAACAGGAGACCAATAATGAATATTCTTTTGTAGAATCATAAAGGTGGGAAAATATCGAGTCAACCTGTGCCCGATCCCCACCTTGTCCCAGAGCACTGAGTGCCACTTCCAGTCATTCCTTGGACACCCCCAGGGATGGGGACCCCACCACCTCCTTGGCAGCCTGACCACCCTTTCCATGAAGAAATTCTTCCTGATGTCCATGCATGGATACGTAATATATTGCAAAATTCCTTAGAGGATGGAAGGAATACTTACTCCAGCTGTGCCCAACCCCTCGGTATGAGCACAATCATTTACCTTTAAAGAGCACTTTTGCTTTATATTTTTGCATAAGGCTTTCAGCTGTAACCAAGTGGAAAGAGCACAGACAGGAGAACACACAGATTCTCATGATCACTGAGGACCTTTTTAATGTATATATCATATGGCCTGTTGTATGAGCTTCCCTGGCCATACCTTCAATAAAATGTGTGTTTCCCATACAGACATTTACTATGCACTGCACACACTCGATCCTACAAGTTTCCTGGGAAGGTGCTGCTCCCTGCTGGCTGGGAGCAGGAGAGAGCTGGAGTGCAAAAAGGGACCTACACAGCCCAAAAGCTGAGCCAACTTTCAGCATCCTCTTCTCTTTTATGCTATGGCTCCTACTGCTGAAGCACTTAGTGTTTGACACCAAAGCCTCTCCCAGCACACAGCTCCTGCCACATGCAAAGCTCTACCTCCTTCATCATTCCCTAATTCCTGCTGAGATCAAAGCATGGCACTGTTACCATGCTCCAAAGGTTGCACACAACTGCATCCTTGGAAAAAAAATAAGCAAAAAAAGAAACAAACCAACTGCAGCCACATTTCAGACTATTGCCATGGCTACAGAGCTATTTTTTGCACCCGAGTTAATGGTTAAAACAACTGCCCTGAAGTAGGTTCAGTGCTTCTTTTTCCCAATTTAAGGATAACATTCTTTTCTTTTCCCCAATTTAAGGATAACATCCTTCCAAAGCAAAGAGATGTCAGAAAAGTCTCCAAAATCTACTCAGACTAAATACATTTACACCGACACAGAAGGATCACAGCTTCTCTTATGGAATTAGTTTATCTGTTTTCAAAAATTTGGGGCAATTTATCCTCAAAGCAGCAGTCTCTCATTGCCTTT